CGTCTAGAAACCCCATACAAATTGGCTAAATGTTCTAAAGGAAGTGCAGTGGAAAGGATGCTTTCAAGATCATCTCTGTTCATTTCAAGGCGTGGCCGTCCCAGGTTCCCCACAGTGGTAGTTACAATTTCTGACACATTAACTGGTGCTCCTTCAGCAGACTGAACAGGTAAGATGTTGATTAATTCCTATAGACTTCTAATAAGTTCTAGCGGGATGCTGAGGTGTTGTGAAGCCATTGTTGCCAAGCAAAGCTCTTGCTGAGCAACATCTAGGAGGTAGTCTAAGTCCAACGTTTCATTTCTCATAATTAGATTAAATCTTCTCTGAATCCTTTGCAAGATTTCATCCCGTACTTGCCCCTGCAGCAATAAGCACTGCAAGGTAAGTAAATATTAATGTCAATACAACATGAACAGAAAATGCTAATTCTATCTAAGATTGTACTTTGAATGAAAATGCTCCTAGTGCCCTTTAAAAAATCTCAATTGTCATTACTTTTAGAATTGTTCAAATGAACAGAGTAAGAAAAGACTTCAGGAGCTTAAAACGGGGCGGAGTGACTGAAAAGTCAGCAGCGAAACTGAAAAATCAGTGAAAACGTAAAACGGGGCGGAGTGACTGAAAAGTCAGCAGCGAAACTGAAAAACCAGTGAAAACGTAAAACGGGGCGGAGTGACTGAAAAGCCAGCAGCGAAACTAAAAAACCAGTGAAAACGTAAAACGGGGCGGAGTGACTGAAAAGTCAGCAGCGAAACTGAAAAACCAGTGAAAACGTAAAACGGGGAGGAGTGACTGAAAAGTCAGCAGCGAAACTGAAAAACTAGCAGTGAAAACGTAAAACGGGGCGGAATGACTGAAAAGCCAGCAGCGTAACTGAAAAACTCACAGGCGAGAATGAATTTTGAATGAATTTTGTTTGATATTAGGAAAGTTTTGTTTGAAAATTTTGGCACAAATCTGATTCCATAGTCACCTCGCCTATAACCGTGGGCCGTATTAAAACATCGGAGAAGTTGTTCTCTTTTCATATTAGAATTGCAACACGCATTGCACTGTTCCTCTGCATAAGTATTTGCACAGGTCCAACGTTTTCCCCCGCAACACCAACTTCCTGTAAATTAATTAAATTTTCTTGATTAAACATCAAATAGGCTATGAAATACATAAAAAACATACACTCACCTAAAGGATTATTAGGAACACCTGTTCAATTTCTCATTAATGCAATTATCTAATCAACCAATCACATGGCAGTTGCTTCAATGCATTTAGGGGTGTGGTCCTGGTCAAGACAATCTCCTGAACTCCAAACTGAATGTCAGAATGGGAAAGAAAGGTGATTTAAGCAATTTTGAGCGTGGCACGGTTGTTGGTGCCAGACGGGACGAGTATTTCACAATCTGCTCAGTTACTGGGATTTTCACGCACAACCATTTCTAGGGTTTACAAAGAATGGTGTGCAAAGGGAAAAACATCCAGTATGCGGCAGTCCTGTGGGCGAAAATGCCTTGTTGATGCTAGAGGTCAGAGGAGAATGGGCCGACTGATTCAAGCTGATAGAAGAGCAACTTTGACTGAAATAACCACTCGTTACAACCGAGGTATGCAGCAAAGCATTTGTGAAGCCACAACACGCACAACCTTGAGGCGGATGGGCTACAACAGCAGAAGACCCCACCGGGTACCACTCATCTCCACTACAAATAGGAAAAAGAGGCTACAATTTGCACGATCTCACCAAAATTGGACAGTTGAAGACTGGAAAAATGTTGCCTGGTCTGATGAGTCTCGATTTCTGTTGAGACATTCAAATGGTAGAGTCAGAATTTGGCGTAAACAGAATGAGAACATGGATCCATCATGCCTTGTTACCACTGTGCAGGCTGGTGGTGGTGGTGTAATGGTGTGGGGGATGTTTTCTTGGCACACTTTAGGCCCCTTAGTGCCAATTGGGCATCGTTTAAATGCCACAGCCTACCTGAGCATTGTTTCTGACCATGTCCATCCCTTTATGACCACCATGTACCCATCCTCTGATGGCGACTTCCAAGCAGGATAATGCACCATGTCAGAAAGCTCGAATAATTTTAAATTGGTTTCTTGAACATGACAATGAGTTCACTGTACTACAATGGCCCCCACAGTCACCAGATCTCAACCCAATAGTGCATCTTTGGGATGTGGTGGATGGGAGCTTCGTGCCCTGGATGTGCATCCCACAAATCTCCATCAACTGCAAGATGCTATCCTATCAATATGGGCCAACATTTCTAAAGAATGCTTTCAGCACCTTGTTGAATCAATGCCACGTAGAATTAAGGCAGTTCTGAAGGCGAAAGGGGGTCAAACACCGTACTAGTATGGTGTTCCTAATAATCCTTTAGGTGAGTGTATATTCATTGAATCATTGTTATGGCGACAAATCCAGTACCTGCGTCATTTCGTAAACTGTTCGAGCAAAAAATTGGACGCGTGCAAAGCCGTAAAATGCAAAAAATCTTCTTTATCTATTAACCAGTTGACAATATCTTCTTAAACAAACAAAAAAAAACGAAAGGATTCACAGGCTGTATAAAAAGGTCATACCAAAATGATCAATATAGGGGTCTTAATTTAAACATAAATGTTAACTGAACCATAACAAAATCTAAGAAGTACATATTAGCCTTAAGTATACAAAATAAAATAAACATCAAATTTTAGTCATTGCATACAACTTATATGAAATGCAATTATCAGCTATGGCTCTAACAATCATCAACCATGTTTTGTACCTTGAATAGCAAAAAAATAAGCATGAAGTTTTGCTGCCATATATGCAACAGATTCTGTGTATTAATTACCACGAAATTAAGTATGAAAAATGTTTTTAAACGGGACGAGTTTGCATATTTAGTTATTGAGCGGCACCCAGTGGCACTTTTGGGCATTACACTATGCAGTGCACCCTAGTTCAGAAAGTTGAGACAAGTGGTTCAGTTTGAGCTTCCTGTTTCGTTTATCTCTCATCTCAAATTCATTATTTATAAATCGTTACGTGAATGCTTATATTCCTATTTGAAGAGGACGCTTGTTGAATATTTACAGGAATTAACGATGGGACTTTAATCATATACCATTTTATTTATTGTAAAGCATAAAAACAGACATTTGTTGGAAAAGTGCACTATGCTATGTAGAATACAAAAGGTGGCTACACCTTTTCTTGTGGTCACATGTACCCTCCCCTGGCCGCGGTGGCGCAATGACGTCACCGCCCCCCCCACCTCGCGCGTCAACCTTGGATGTCTCCGGGTGACGTCAACGCGACAACAACAAAACCGAGAGCAGGCTGCCTTAGTCCAGGGCGGAGGGCGATCCGAGCCACTCTTTCTCCTCTATGGCGATCGCCGGAAGACGCGACGGCGACGATGCCTCGGAAGCGGGGGCCAGGGTCGGGGCTGGGGGCGGCGGGGCTGGGGCGATGCCCACGGGGAAGGGGGACCGCTCTGCGGGAGCTCGCCAGTTCAGAGGCGGGTCTCTGCTCAGCTGCATAGCGAGCGTGATTACCTGGAAGAGACCGCTGTACACTTCACTGCTGTTCATCGCCACCAATGCGATATTCTGGTAAGCCTGCCATGTCGCAGTGAGCTTCTTCCCTATTAAAATTCCCCCGATGAACCGGTATCCTGCTGGATCGGGTGCCGCGGCTGCACAGGTGTGCGTAGTGCAGGACCGACTGATTTTCATATCTGTGTTAATTTACTTATTTATTTGTTTGTCGGTTTTACTGATGCATTGTTGATGGAATGTTTGATGCAATTTTTCACTTTCATTTGCTTTGCAACGCGCGATCGCTGCACGCACCGGTATCAGGGGAACCTGACAGCTGGTATTTTTTTTTTTTTTTTTTTTTTTAAGTGGGAATGCGGTGAAAATGGGTCTTAAGGTATGATCGGCCTGCATGACATGTGACATATTCTTCCTAATTCAGGGAACGATGATAAATTAAATGCTCATAATTCCTCCACTACACGCCTTTACACTTCGGGCATATTAACCAAGTCACCCCGTTTCCTTTCAATACTTACATGAGCATTTTGGTGTATATTAACGATTGCGCTACACTTTTAAGTCCTTGATTTATGCACCCTGATACTTTTCTTTGGGGGGGGGGGGGGGTAGACGTGTTGGTTACATCAGGGTTGCCAGAGGTTCATATTAGTTGCAAATCTTGAATTAAAGTGAGTTAAAATAAGTGGCAGGCCATTGCGGCTGTCCGTATGAGGCTGGCACATTTGCCATTAGGTTTATGCAGTCGAACAAACCAGAATGTATTTAGGTTACGTTTTTTTGTTTCCAGCTATGTCAACTCTGAACTCCTGTTTTGTTCCTTGTAAGTAAGCTGTGGCCTGGATTTTTGTGCTGAGGCTTATGTTATTAATTTGGTAGGGGAGACGTGATTGTTCTGTACTCTAAAAAGAAAAAAGAGAGATAAACAGCTCCACTTTCTTTTCCTTTGGCGGAGGAATTGCAAACCATGTAGTTGGACCACATCATGCAGGGGTGTTTGTGTGGCTCACTGCTGGTCACTCAGTAGACTCATTGGTTGAAAGGGTTGCTTTATGAATGGGGGGTATCTCTCCAAATTATTTTCAGCAGCTAATATCCATCCATCCATCCATCCATCTGTTCAGTTTTCCAGAATCGATTCACAGAGCTAGGGTTCACCATTGACTCGCTACTTAAAGTTGGCTGAGTAAACCAGCAGCAGCCCTCTAATGGGTGGTGGTCTCCGGGTCACTCAGCCATTGGCCAATATGGACCAATCACAGTGATCCTCCTGAGACCAGCCTTACACATGGAGTCCACTCAGGATTGGCTGATAAGGCTCAGCTTTTGCAGGTGTACCAATAAAACTCAGTTTCATCAACCCAACCCGGTAAACAGCTTTCTACAGAATACGGATCTACAGTTGCTTAGACATAAAATACCTGTTGCTCCCCTGTTGCTGCAAATCTCACACTGAGGGTTAATATTTACAAATTTGCGATAAATGTGTATGTGTGCAAAGATAACTGCCGTTGTTTAATACAATTCCAATACTTTTTCCTGCCTTAGAGCGTAGAGTGCAAAACATTAATTATTGCCGTTTGTTTGGAAGACAAAATATCTAAATAGAATATTGTAGTTTTCTGTTTTTTTCCCCCCCCAACTTCAGATTCTCACATTTTCCATTTTCCCATGACCAGTAGTGGTAGCGTAATGTATGTAAACCAAAAATAGAGTGAGTATCTGCAACATTGGCAGAAGGTCGAGCTTATCACCGTTTGTCTCTGTTAGCTTAAAGTTGAAGGGAAAGGAAGGAAGACAGACATGACTCTGGATTTGATTTAGCTGTTTACTTTTTAAAAAGGCTATTCGATGACTTGAACTGCAGTTGCACACTATCTTTTAAAGCAGGGGTTGGAAATCTTACCCAAAAAGGGCCGCTCTGTTCGCGGGTTTTCGCGGCAGCTCCCTAATTAGATTACTAATTAGAGGACTGATTGGCTGAAGAGTCCTCACCTGGGTTTGAACAGCTGACCTAAAGGTCATACCAAAAACCCGCATGCATAAGAACTTAAGAGAGTTACAAACGAGAGATGGCCATTTGAGCCATTGAGCTTGCTTGGCATTGTTGATGGATACACTCTGGCCCTTTGAGGATGATTGGTCACCCCTGTTTTAGAGAGTGTTGTCATGCCATTGTGTCTGTGTCATGGGTAGAAGATCATACTTGGCTTTGGGAAGACCTCAGTGGCCTCAGTGGCCCAAACCAGCTCCATCCTCTCTTTGACCTTGAAATTCCAGACCACGACCTTGAGGAATAGAACTAGTCACCGTGCACTTGTGCTCAGGAAGGGTGATATTCTTCTCACATGACGGCCATGTTGGTTTCCTTCAGGTTGGTGGCACTCAGTTCCTGGAGGTTGTACCACCTGCTGACCTTGTGTCTGATGGTCCTGGTCACCGTGCAGATGATGAAAGACATGGTCCTCGCCAGAAAAAGAGGTATGCAAAACATCCATCCCATTCACGTGCTGTCGCGCTACATTCCAGACATACGAGGTCATCCAGTGAGTATTGTTTACTCTCGCAGTGAGGCTCCTTCTAAAGCTCTTTGCAGTAATGTATATCATGCTCCCCAAAGGCAGTGCCTCTCTAATGGCTTTGTCACCCACCCACTGAATTTCTGTTAGCTGGGAAACACTTTGGCAGTTCTCCCTCCGCCATTTAACACCATCGGATCCTGACTCCATTGCCCCTTCAAATGTCCACTTCAAGCCAAGCTTGAGCCTATGTCTGCAGCGGCTTGGCTAAGTTAGACGGGAGGGAGGAAGCTGGTATATATCTGGTATATATCGCTCTCCAATCCAAGGGTGATTCTAGGATTGGAAGAAGGGCCGTCATTCAGACAGAGGGGCGGGCCTTATTATTAGCCAATGATATGTTTTCAATAGGTGAGTGATGGAGATGGGTACTCCATAGGCCAATCAGCTTCCAGTGAGGCTACTACCCCTGTAGCCCCGCCCCTGTACACACCCCTGCTCATTTGTACTTCTCATCCGATCCACTGATCCACAGTGTTTAATGAGGCTGTGTGTTGCTTCTAAAAGAGAATCTTGTGCATTCACTGAGACATATTGCAGCCATGTTAATTTGATATCTCCTGTTTCTTTGCACAGGGGCCAGTTTATGGCGCAGTATGACTGAAAGGTACGTGATCTTAGCACTTCATTTTGCTAATGAAGTCATTGTAGGCCATTGCGGGGGGGGGGGCGTGGCTGTTTTAAGTTAATGTTCCATTCTGGGTGGAACGTGACGAAAGTGGCAACCAGTGCCGGATGTGCAGAGAACCGCTGGGGAGGTTCTGCTAGTTTAACGCCTGCCCCCCACCCCTGACCATGCAGCTTTCCAGTGTCTCTTCCACATTTGCGTGCGCGGAAATGTTCATAGTTCTCCGGTCAAGCTGTGTACTTTGCACATGCGCGCAACGTATTGTATTTATATTTGTAGTATTATTATTATTATTATTATTATTATTATTAATTGTATAAATTACTACTCTGACGTTCCCTGCACACGTACCACAGCAGTTTGTTATCTGTTTTGCAAATTAAGAGCCGGCTCACAGGGTTGGCAACTTAGGTCAGCTGGCTGGAGTTGGATTCTCAATTCGAGACGAGTCTGCTCACACTTATACGTATTTACATGTATGTAACAGTTTTATTACCTTGTAAATCGTCTGCAGGGTTTGCAAACGACTCTACCGCTCGTCAATAGCATCCATGTTGGTGTTTAAATGGACGCTGGCAGATCGATCATGCGCAGCAGCTTGGCCTCGTTCCATCTTCGGCCTTCCCATTCTCCTGCAGGAGATCCTGCACTTCCGTCTGACATTTCAGCAGGAATCAGACTCTCATTTTACAGCATTCCGCTTGACAGGTGTAGGTTCTTAACGCTTAACGTGAAGTTGCAGTGGTCTCTTCTCATCCGTGAGGACTTTCAGGCTTTCTCGCTACATTCCAATGAAAACTCTCTATTTGTTGAGTCGAGACAAGTTCATCTTTTTATGTTGAAGCTGAAGCATAATTACTCTCTGGTAAAGTGGTACGATCAACTAGGATTTTTCTGCCCTCGTAAAGGAAACTACTGGGGGTATTTGGGCATTTACCGCCCACGCCGAAAAGGAAGATCGCAGAGAGGGTTAGGAGTCCACTGGCAGAGGCCTGTACCCAGCATGCATTGGGGCCGCGCCTCATCGAACCCCTGCTGTGGCTGTTGCCGTGTTTTTCCAGGCTGCTGATTCTGCTGGGTAGGCGCTGCTTGTCCCGTCCAATCTTGCTGAAGGATGAACTCTTCTCCCTAAAAACCAAGTGTCATCAAACCAGTTTGAGCCGCCCCTCCTTGACCCCGTCCCCCATCCATCTTCGATATGAACCAGCAGTTCCACGCTCTCTTCCCCTCTCCTGTGAGTTTTGAGCCCTGTCGTGCTTAATTGCTCTATTGTGTGATTGCTTAAGGGATTATCTGGATTAGCAGCTCAGTCTTGTGTGTCTGAGCTTTTTCATGTTCTCCTTGCTCTGTCTGTTTGTTACTGACACGTTGACAGAATGGGGCATCTAACACAACGGGGCAAAAAATCACAAGTTCTGTGTGCAGAGGATGACCTGCTTTTGTCCTGGCGCCCCGCATGACTTTATCTCCCTGTTTTAAAAAGATTCTCAAGAATAAAACCGGTTAGTCTGGAACATGATCAGGTACATATATTTGGAGAAAAAAGAAGAAGACAGATCATTGTTACCTGCCTGAGGAACAACAATGAGATCTGCATGACAATATAAAAATATCGCTCTTACGTGATTTATTACCGTCTTCTTTCATCATTTAGTCGTATAGTTTTATAGCCCATCAAGTCCCACCTATTGTTAATTTTGGCGATGTACTTAACTGGAAGCCTTGAATTGAATTTTGCGTAAAAAAAAAAGTTATTAAACTTTTTAAGGTTTTGCTTTTATGTATTTTATATCTAGGAGTAAGAGGCTTGTATCCCCCAATATTTAATTTAGCTTAATTCATCGGCCCAATAAATAGACCTTTGTATTTAAATTTTTAAGTTAGTATGAAATTTAATATGCCGTTACTGGCGATTAATATGTATTAGTATCTGCTTTTATTGGTTAGTTCTTTAAGCTTGGTTAGTAATGCCTAATATAATTAATGCGCACGTGCGCACGCGTAAGAACAGGAGGCTCCGCAGCGACCCGAAGGAGCGAGGAACACGGCTCGCGGAAAGAGAGAGCGAGAGGCGTGGGACGAACATGACGTCGGGGAGGGTGGGGGGACAGATAATGGTCACGGAGGGGCTGCAGTAGCAGGCTGGGTCGAGAATCGGGGTCTAAAAGCAAACAGCCATATTTACAGATGGGTGGACAGTATATATATATATATATATATATATATATATAACATAATATATATTTATAATATATAATATTATATATATCGACTTATGTTCATACGTATAACAAGGATGAATAAGTGACAGGCCTGAGCAGGGATGTCATCCTGCATCTGACTGTCACCCCCCCGCCCCCTTTGTTAGTGGTGAGGCACTCTGCCATCACCTGTCCCTGTCCATCAGGCTGCTGTTACTGGGGTCTGTGCTTCGGATTGCCGGCCAAGGAGGCTCTCGTGTGTGTGTGTGTGTGTGTGTGTGTGTGTGGGGGGGGGGGGGCGGTGCTGACGACCGCACTTCGATTGCCGGCTCTGACCGCGCTGCACTGGGATGCGGGGAAAATGCCGAAGGAGAGGGGGCGGATCTCATTCCGCGTCGCTTTTGGTGACGGCCCGCATGATGCCCTCAGCAGAGAGAAGCAAATATTGTGCTTATAATCCCTCTGCGGAAATGGAGCCGTTTCCTTATCCTGACTCTGCCTGGATCCGCTTGTCACTGCTGACTGATACACTGATAGACTGATCGGTCAAATATATTGGCTTTGTGTCATTCATTCATTGATTCTTGGGTGAAATCCCCCGACCTCCTTCGATATGATAAAAGTCCCCCACGATAATCTTCGCTGAGCTACGCGATAAAATTTGCCTACGTATTGCTAACGATAATATCTGTCGAGTGAGAGGTGGTGCTGCTTTATTTTTGGCATATTCTGAAAATCCCTCCCAATCGTTTTGCGCCCCCAGTTTGAGAACCTCGGCCGTAGCCTGACGCTGTCCTCCACACTGCAGCCTATAGCTGCATTAGCACAATGCTAATGTACATTGTCCACTTACGTATCTGATGCTCTACATCTTAACGCTTCTGTGGTGTGTTAACTTCAGGTCAGCTCTTGAGCTTTCAGTAATACTGTTATGTTTTAATATTTTTAATTGGGAGTATATGTTTAGCATATTTTTTAAAGGACACAGAAAGAAAGATTTAAAAAATTGTCCTGGTTTAATAAGTATCTTCCCACTACTAAAGCTCTATACTATACATTATAGCTATTAATGCATCTATACATACTAATGTATAATGCTGTACTGCTCACTCTGCAGTTTCCTACAGTGTACAGTCTTAGCTGGCTCCAGCTGAAATAGGTTTGCCTGTTTGCACAGCTGCGTTTGACAGTATTCGCTCAGTCCTTATAAAAGTCAATATCTGTTAAGGGGATGTACATGTCAAATAGCAGGATAAGCGTCTTTGTGTACCTTTACACTTCAGGAGTGTGAACGAGGATCTTATGGTCTGTACTAGCTGTACGGGTGCAGATCCCACTATGTGCTGGTGTAACACAGAGAGGCTTATGTTCGGTGAATCTGTGCCGGAGTTAAAAAGTTTGTTTGTGGGTCTGAAGTAATATCGGAGCTATAATTAAGAATGTTTTCGTTGTATTACAGTACATCGCCCCCTTTGTCACCAAACTCAGCCCCCCTCGCTGTTTTTACAAAAGCCCACAAACCTTTTCCTTTCTTCATAACAAGAAGTTATGGTCAGTCTGTTCCACTACAGTGTCCCAGCAGCAACCAGCCTGTTGTTCAAAGTAGTTGGGCTTCCCAGCACATGGTGCTCCTGCCATTAGAGAAAGATTACCTTATCCTGACTGGTCACATGGACAGTGATGGGCGGGGCCAGTACTCTGATTGGTTACTTCACACTTCTGTACAGTGTGGTGCTGTTTGCACAGCACAGTAACAAATGTACTTCCTCCCCCCCCCCCACCAGTGACAACGCAGGATTGCTCAACTCCCTGGATCTCCAGGTTTTCATGCTAAGCCTTGTTTTGTGCCTTCATCCAATAGGAGCTTAGCTTGCCCAATGACAGCGCAGGGTTGCTTAACCCTCTGGGTCGGTAGTCTTTCACGCTCAGCCGTGTTTCTTCCCTTTGTCCAATGGCAGCTCTGTTTATAGGGCCAGAAAGTTGGCAAGCTCTTTCCACGGTGTCCGTGTTTACGATATCCCTCTCAGCCCAGTGTGTTACAGATAGCTGATAACATATAGGCGTGGCAGGGGGCTCATTACTGGTGCTCGGGGGGGCTTCTTGGAGCCGTCTATGCATCTCGCGTTCCAGCGCTTACCCTCGTCCCCGTCAGCGCTCCCGTCACCACCCCCTCTCACACGCCTCCCGATAAAGCCGCCTCGCGCCGGTCCCCGGCCAGAAGTGAAACCCACACTGTCTTCAGAGGGACACCCCCCCCCCGAGCACGTGAAGCCCAGAAGGCTCCAGCAGAACTCGTCAAAAGCTCCCGGGTCCCAAAATAAGCATGCTATACGGTAGCCGTTCAGGGAATCGAGGGTGAATACTGGTAACTGTATCAGGGAAGGTTTCTACTCATGCATCTCAGCTTCTCAGAATCAATAAATGTTGATTTATCAAGAGTGTAGGTGGTTGGTACGTTAAAACAGCTTTTAATCCAATGACTTGAGGAGATTTGTCCCAGCTTCAGATTTGAGTTAATATTTCAATACAAATGAGCTGAGATTAGATAAACTGAGACTGGTTGTAGAGAGTTGTAGGGGGTGTATTGATGTAATGTATTGCCTCACATATTCCTGATAATCCATGTTTTTGTATTTTCTGTAAGGAAGGAAATGTGCCAGTGAGCGTGTGCTGTTTGTTCCACCCACAGATGGCTACTGGAACTCCTCTTGACTGTTGTGAAACACCGTGCCCAATGCTGTCTGTATTTTCATTCTCCTCACGCCTAGCAGGGGATGACATAGCCGTTTACCCAACCCGGGATATTTTTCGGCCATCACAGCTGATCCAGGATCAGCGCTTTGGCCTGCGGCACCCAACCTCAGCCAGTCTGAGAGTAAACAGCTAACTCTGTTCGCCAAGCCTGTGGAGGCAACCAATCATTAGGCTGGAGACTAACAGGTTGGGGGATGTGTCTAAGATTGGAGCTTGTCATTGGTCAAAAGGAGGATACATAGGTTTACTATTTTAATACTAACAGTAATACTGTTTTATTACTTTAATTTAATAAGGGTAGTAACATGTTTTTTGTGCAACGTGTCAGTTTTGGCACTGACTGAATAAGTAATTGCCGCCTCATTTAATTTGTAACAAAAACATTGCATGACTTGAATGTCTAGAAACTAGTCGTATGCAGGTGTACATAGACACAGATGCCATTATGGTACAGACAATATTGTTTTGATTCCATTAGCCAGGTTCCTGTCATGCTTTGTTTTGTGTGATTGTTTTTGGACTTGATGTCACATGGAATATTTGGATGCTTGCAGGGTGAGTAGTATGGGCTCTCTTTGAGGCTGCTAAATGGCCTGTGAATCATTTATATTTTTAATGAAAAGAGGTCCCTGGAATACGATGTGCAGAAAGTGGTCCTGTCAGCGTTTTGGTTTTATTTTGCCAGTGATTAGTTGCTTATGTGTAAATCTAATGAGTCCTGGTTTAATTTGGGGGAGTACTGTGCCCGACGTGTACAGTAGAAGGGTTCGGACAAGGCGGGATTTCTTGTCGGGATGCACGACATGATGTACCGAGAAACTAGAGAATGATTCGCTACAATGAAGACAATGTCATGACTTTTGATTATTGGGATCTGGTGTCAACCATGACTGCAGAGCAGCTCTTCCCGTTTTGGTGACGATGAAAATCTTTTACTTTTTGTAGAGGCACCTATGGTCACACTCCCTCCTCTCACCCCTCTTGTTGTCCCCCCTCCCCTGAGAGGTACTACAGCCGACCGGGGGTGTCTGTTAGTCTCGGCCCCTCATGATGCGTCGCCGTTTCTGGAATGCGGTGTGACCCATTTATTTATAGATGCCAGCAGTTGAAATAGCCGGGCCAGGTCCCCATTGAAGATAAACAGAAGCTGGTTTCTCTTAGGGTCGCTTAGAATCCGGGCCCCGCAGGAAACCAGGACTTAGCTTTTGGCCAAGACCAGAGAGACTTTGGTCTTCAGAACTTCTAAGGGTCCTTGTCAGTGCCGAAAAGCCGTTGAGATGTCCTCAGAAGACAATGGATCGGGGTTTAGGTAACCGTATATCTCTTTGTATGTGATTTTGCTTGGGAATCATGTATTCATCCAGAAAGGAAGGCTTGTATACGCTGAATCTGATGGCCGGATCTGGCGAAGCAGAACATGCTTCTCTTTGCCATTTTGTGTTTGTGTTGTTTTTGTTTCTTGAGGAGTATGATGAAGTCTGTCTTGCTTTTTTTATTTTGTCTGCCTTGAAGCAATCACAGAATCCCCTGGGATATCTGTGGGTGCTACAGAGACGATGTTGTGATACGGATTTCCTGTGGAAGCCTGTTTTCTCCATCTAAGGCATGCCCACCTCTTTCTCCATTCTTCATTGTTGTGTAGTGTACTTGCACACCGCCAGCCGCCCCAGTAATGCCTATGATGCATACTTGGCCTGGTCTGCCGGCTCGGTGGCCGGCTCCGCTAGTCACGTTACCGATGTGTCGTCGCCTTTGGATGCTAGATGCACGTCTCCCGTTTACTCTCACGGCCATGTTACGCACAAGGCATGGCCAGAAGCATTGCGGTTTCAAGGTTTATATGAACAGTCTGTTTGGTTTCGTGTAGGGAAACACACACACTTCAGGATGACTGCCGTCAACAGTCTATTTTTAACCCATTGGCCAACTATCTGTACTGGGAATCAGATGTATCCCAGTCTGTTAGATTAGTGGTTTATTGTGATGGCCAAAGTGAACCGGACTGCTATTTAAGGTTGGATGATTCCGGAAATTGGGTCTGTAGACGGTATGTTGGCCATAGCGAGCGGCTGGTTGGGTCTCCTTGACTGTCTGGATAAACGTTGCCATGGAAATAGACGTTAAACATACTGTCATGTGGTCGGATGTATTTTTTAAATGGTGAGGCTGTGGGGGGACGCAGGAGGCTAATTCTCGTGACGGAGCAGCTGTTTGTCAGACAGCTGTTGAGGGGGCGGGGGGCATGGAAAACGAAAGGGCACCACTTGTGAAAAGTCCTGTTAATAGATCTCAGGGGTCTGAGAGCGGGACATTGCTAGAAGACATTCCGAGGTTTGAGGCCTTGAAGGCCAGCGTGATTTTCTGAGGAGCGGATAATTGCGGCGTGGCGAGGTCCGGGAACCTGGAGCCATCAGTTAAACGCCAGAATCCTTTTGGATCGCCGTTCTTTTCTTTCCGGAGCGTCCCCCACTCCCTCTCTGGTCCCTCCCGTGTGTTAAGGTGTGAAGCAGTTATCGGCATTGCCGCGGTCACGCCCGGCATTGCGTTTGCAGCACTCCATTTAGTCTGACCCGTATGGTGGGCATAGCGAGCGTGGCGTACGTGTGACCCGCCTAATGACACTCACATTTGCAGAAGATCTGAGTGTCTTAAACAGATGGAACAATCACTCCATCCATGTTCTAAAAGCAAATTCCTGCTAAACCTGTCATCAACCAGTCTCGCCTTGCTGTGGGAGAACTTTAGTGGCTTTAGTCCTAGATTTCCCATAAACCATAATGTGCCGCATAATGGGAGTACATTCAACCACTTCACCTGTACTTGATTACCAGTTATCTTGGACTGGGTTCTGGTCAGCAGAACGTTCTCCTGGCCCTCGTTGCCCAAGCCATAGCCTGTCGTAGCCTTTGGGTCTTGTTCTTTTGTGTTAGTTTCTCAGTGCCCTTGTGTTAAACCTCTGCTTCCGTAACCGAAAAAACTCCTTGTTCCTTCATGACATTCTTGTGTCATTTTCTATGTCCCAATGTCATCAGAGTGGTTTTGTGGAAGCTGTCACTTCTGCCTTCCACGCCGCCCTACTGTAAGATACAATGTGTACCCTTCATTCAATGGCTTTAGCTTTAGTATGGTTGGCTGGCATGAGTGTACTTTGTAATTACTGACCGTAGTGAGCTTATAATTTAATCATGAGACAGGAGTTTTTTTTTTTTGTCTCATTATCCAAACAGCAAAGGCTGATGGGAATGACGACAGCACCTGGGAAAGGCCTCGTTGGTTTCAGTTTTGTGTTTTTACTTTAGCCGTCAAACAATGATGGGGATAGTCGGCTTCATTCCAGGCCGTCAGTAATGCTGAAAGAGCCCAGTGTGATCCCGCCCAGTCCCGCCCAAGAAATCACCATGGGGCAAAATGGCGGGAACTGTCTTGTGTTTGGCTGCAACCAGATCTCTCGAGAGAAGGAGTGCATTTTCATGCCGCTAGGGACTGGTGACAGCTGCTGTAGTCTTCGCTCTCTGCCCATGTTAAATTTAGCCATTGTTATTCTTCCATTGATGACACAGATGAAAGCGGGGCCTTGTATATATTTAGCTCCGTCAAAATTTTTGTCCTCTGCGTAACCAGAACGGCAATAGTTACAGCACTAGAAGGCGACTGTGTGATCTCAGCTAGCCCAACCACGATTAATCTGAGTTGCTGTGGGCTGTGGCCCAACACCACGGTATCACATCACCTGGCAAATCAGTCATCTCTTGCTTTGTTGTTCTTCTGTTGGCGTATTGCACATCCATCCCAGCAGCCAGCAAGGCCGCAAAAATCTCACATGAAGTCTGTGAGCATGGAGGGCATGTGCTGTCCCCCCATTTGGGACTAGCGGGAAGAACATGAGCGATTTGGACTCCTGGTGCCAACTTTATGGCTGCAGGCATGGATCCTGTTGTCTAGAGGCTGGTTCTTAAAAAAGAAGCAGTGGATTGTGGGTATTCTAACTGATTTACCTCATGTCTGTGGCTTCTGGTCCCATTGTTGAACACGTAAGGTGTTAAAAATGAATTTTTGTGTCACTTGCAGTTTTGTCTGGATGATGATGCAGAAAACACTGGTAGAGGGGTACCTTGCCATCACCGTGTATGGGATTTTGCAACACGGTGAAGCTCTGTTTGTAGCTCCGGCTTTTTCAAAGCAGTCATGATACTCACCCAGCTCTCTTTCTCTCAACGTCCAGCTGGGAGGTCATTGATTCAGGCCCAGACACCAGGGCAGGGGTCGGCCAGCTCGCCGAATCCTGGGTGAGCGTCAAGCTGTTCCTGCAGGAGCTGTCCTCCTTCAAGCAGCAGAATCCTGGAAAGGTGAGGCTCAGACAACATGCGGGAAAATGAGTGGGACACGGGTGGCTTCCTTCCAGCAATCAAGGATAGCAGCTTCCGAAGAATCATTTTGGGCGTTTCCGTGACTTAACCAGTCCAACCGGAACACCATTTAGTCATCACAACAAAAGAAGCTGTAGCATGTCCTGAGGGCTTTCAATTTTCATAGATGATGGTTTATAAACACGGCAAATGGTCATCTCTACATGTCGTGATCTCTGTTGTATGAGTGAAGTACAAACCAATCGCAGATTAGGTCCAGTAATTTTATTAGGAAGAGGGAACTTTAAGATTGGTGCTTGCTTGTTTTATCTTGGAACGGCAAAGTGAGTAAGTTTTATGCCGGAGACGCTGCTTTAGGGTAGTGGTGGGTAATGTTCTTCTGGTTGTGGTGCTCACCCTCAGATGTCCCTGCAACCTCAGCCATTCTTTCTTTCAGTTTTGCCTGCTCGTCTGCAGTCTGTGCACGTTTTTGGCGATTCTGGGCCGGTATATTCCTGGGGTCATCATCTTGTATGTCGGAGGTAAGTGAGGCGTGCCATGTGGCAGGGAGGGGGGGCGGGAATGACGTTAAATAGGTGTCAACCCCACACCCCCCCCTGTCTGTGGTTTCTCTCCCAGTGTCGGGCATCTTCTTGTGGCCCCTCCTCTCATCACACGAATTTGGGCTGTGGATGGAGCCAGTTCTGCAGAAACTGGACTTCGGGGTGGCCGACTTCCTGCAGAGGATCAAGGAAAATCACGGTGAGGACACTTCTCCACCCAACCCCCCTACCCCGTGTAGCTGCCTCTGTTCCTGACTTGCGGGTCTGTTGGGGATTTCAGAGAAGCGGATGCTCCAGAGACGGGATGAAATCAGCGAGGCCGATGAGTCTGCCCTCTTCCCCAAGGTGCCTTCCCGCTCCGATTTATCAACACTACCTTTAAAATAAACCTTTCGTTCCCCGTTCCAAAGTTG